AAAAAAAAAAAAAAAAAACGGTGACAGTTTTTTTCTTATTTTAATTGTAAATTCACTTAATTTTAAGCATGAACTTTAAATTCTTGTATTTAATGATTAAACAGAAGCCTGTTTCCACTAATCTTTTTTCCTGTTGACTGAATGTCTCCTGCTTTGCAATCTAATGCTAGTTCTTCTAGTTCACTGATGCTGAACACACAGCAGTTAAACATTAATCGCTGTGCTATCACACTCGTTCATGTGTTATCTTGATATCAGTGCTTTCTGTTGGCACTTGTGAAATTGAGTGAAAGCTGTGATTCAGTGGTCAGGTCATGGTTTCTCTCTCTCTATTATGTCCTGTATATCTAGACTCTTGATGCCAGAAACTGACCTGGTTTTTCAGTGCTGTCAGATGAGTCACTGGGACCTGAAATCAAAGAGAATTATTAGCTCAGTGTGATGATGTCTCTTTGTGTTTGTGATCTCTTACCTCCTTGTTTCTCTGCTGAATCATTTCCATCTGTGGTTCCTGTTTAAAAGAAAGTTTTCCAAAGTTACTTTCATTTTAGTTTTAGTCATTTTGTTATGAGCTTTTTCTAAAATATTTCTATATTTTATTTCTGTTTTAGTAAATTTAAAGTAAACAAACTTTGTTGCTACAGCAACATTTCTAATTTAAGTTTTCATTCAGGTTTTAATGAAGTTAATACATTTTAATAATTTTTCATGCACTTTTATCATTTTTATTAGTGTTAAATTTAATAACATTTACATTTAGCTTTAGTGTATTTCAGTTTTAGTAATTCCAATACTTACATTTGAAATGATTTTGAATTTGAAGTTTTTCATCTAATATTTGTTATTTTGATATTGTTTCAGCTTAATTTCAATTAATGAAAATGTTTTAATAGTTTTTAATAATATTTTCCAGTTTCAACATTTTCAACAGTTTTAGTTAACATTAAGAACACTATCTGTCTAAATCTTGACATTCAAATTAAGTTCATTATTGGACTTTTTAAATATTTATTGTTTATATTTGATTTATTTAAGTTTTAGTCATTTTAGTACATTATTCTATTATTTCTAATATTTGTTTTTT